CAGGGCAGGAATGTCTTTTTCAATTATGTCAAAGACCTGAAATGGAATTTAGCAAGGAATGAGCATCCTCATGGTTTTTGTGGCTGAAAACCTCTTCAGTGTGTTTGTGCAAAGATAATTTTTTCTCAAAGGGTGAAYGACATTGCCAGTTGCATTAATGGGATTTTGGCTTCCAGTGTCCCTGCATCTAGCATGTGTTTCCCAAAGAAAACCCTGATGCTGCATCTTGCCTTCATGTAGGGCCATGGCAATGGGTTGTGGCTTTTAATAGAGTATCTTCAAAACTTTGTTTCTCTGAGATGGTTTAATGTAACCTAATCCACTTCAGCTGGTGTTCTGGGATAATCCAAACAAATAAATATAAATACCCGTTGATGATCATCTCTGCTAAGAAATTAATTTTGTGAGAAGCCACGATTCTTGGTGGAGGAACAGACCAGGACATTTTTTTTAACATGGATCATATCTTTTTCAGAAGGAGAGATTTGGGCCATCTTGCTTCCTACTCAGGCATACAGCCTCCCTGAGGAGTTTGCTTACATACTGAAGTAAAAATTGAAAATATTTACATGTATTTAGCTGGCAGTAGTGATAGATGCATTTCCTGTCTTTCTCAGTATAAGCATTTCCTTGTCTTTTTTTTCAATCTTCTCATTCCTTTTTTTTTTTTTTTTCTTTTTATTTTTTCCTTACCTGAAATAAGAAAAACAACAATTATCATATGTTCAGTTCATGTCACTCTTTGAACCAAAGTCTGGAAATTTCCAGTATAACTATTGTAAAAGTTGCTTAAGCTCCTGCTGCAGTGTTTTCTCCACCATGTTGCACTCCTGCCAAAAGTTCCAGCAAGGGAAAGAGAGGGAAGGTTCATCAGCATTTCATGTTTCCATAGTATCCTGTGCTCAGGGAGATGCTGCCTGACAAATGACATGTTTAGCATGACTCCAAGTTAGATGTGCAGACACATTTTTCAGTCCTCTGTTGTTTCTGGTCTATGGGCAATGGCTGCTGTGCATGTTCCCTCAGCTGTTCTTGGAGTTAATGACCTCTCTTCTGTTGTTGCTCTACAGGGACAGCTAGAGAACGGTGAAAAGAACTGCATGGCCAGACCCACCCATGTTTTTATGTGGACTGATGATATTTGCTGTGAGGCTGAAGGGCTATAGAGGAGAATTCATATAGGCACTTAGTTTCTCATCCATCTCCTTAGTAGAGATTCCTGCCAGCTGGGAAGGGAGGCTTGGTTTATGGTTTTGAATCAGGGCTTTTCCCTCTCCAGTGGGCTTTTATGCTTCACAAGACCATGAGATTTTTATGAAAAAAAGCATATTGAGGACTGGAAAGTTGCTTTTTATTAGTCTATAAATTCTGCATAGAACATATTGCTCAAAGATCTCAGACCTCTTGATATTAATTAAAAAACAGACACACACCCCAACTACTGTGGCTATSTCTTCACTAGCATCTTGGAGCAGTACTACACTTTTGAAGCAGATCCCACAAAGGTCTCTCACTGTGCAGTGGTTCCTGGGTACTTCAAGTGGCACTTGTGGGCTTTAGTAGCCTAATAACTGAATTTAGTACTAATTTCTTCTAGATTAATTTAGATTGTACTCCTATGAGGTTAACATGCTATCCCTGATGAAGACACAATGAAAGAATTTAGCCTGGTGAAACTCTCATATTTGAGATTTTAAAAAGACACTTGTTTGCCAAAAGCAAGTAGATGGAAAAATCTTGTTCCTTTTTTTTCTAAATTTTCTGAAGGCAGCTGGCTTTCTAACTGGACCAAGTTGGAAAACTGATGGCCATGGAACAGTATATGGAATCAGAAAATGTTAGGGAAAATTCGTGTGCTTGTCCATTGGAGAAAAGCTTGTTTGGGTTTTTTGTTTTGTTTAGTTTTTAAGGCAGGAGTCCATTTTCTTTTTAGTGGAATAAGACGATTGCTTTCCTTTACCTTTTGCAGACATATGTTTAAAATTTGAAATGTTTACAGTTACTGACTTTGAATTGTAACTTTCTTTCATTCTTGAAGATTTATTATTTTAATGAGCTTATCCTGCACAAAATCTGCCCCAAAGTTAAGGGCCCATAGTGTCATCTAATTATATCCATGGAATGTAAGCTCTTGTAATGCATGGTGTTCTGGTAAACTGTCTGACTGCTTTTGCAGAATGTCTGTTCAGTAGTACTATTTCTTCAATTTGGAAATAAATATAATTAGAGAAGAAGAGATTTCTTGATTGAAAATAGCAATTTATGCAACTCTGTATTAAGTATATTATTGTCAAATATGGAGGAGATGGTTTTTCATACAGTTCTGTAGGTTGCTTTTGTTGCAGAACTGTCTCAATACCAAAAGCAGTGTGATTTTTTACAGAGCTGACTTTGTTAGGAATAAGCGTAGTATTACACCTCGCACCTCTAGCAACAGCTTTATAGAGCATGAAGTTTTTTAGCCTGCTTTATGGAAAAGCAACCTGTGAATCTTTCAGAAATTCAGAGCAAGTTTACATATCTGAAGTGACGTTAGCTTGSATAGCTTTGTGAGACAGCAGAATGGCAGAGAGCAGGACTGTGCGTGGCCTTATTCCAACATTTTGTTTTGAACCATTACTAACCTAGGTTTATAATTATGAGCGTGCTGGCARTGGCAGCATGGCCCAAATGTGTAGCCTAGAGAAACTAGACAAATAAAAATGTCCAGGGATGGACTTGAAAAGTAGAGTTCCCACTTGTAGCTTTGTGTAGCTGCCTCGCTCGATACGCGGCTAGAGCGGAGGAGAGGAACCGACGCTGAATGATGCGAGGTGGCAGCTACAATTGGCCTACGAGAATCGTTTTGCCTCTGGCGCCCTAGATCATGGATTTCATCACATCCAAGAAATGTTAACAGCTTTGCCCCTCGGGCTTTAGTAGTTCTGAGTATCTTTGTGGTTTTTGTAATTGACAGCTCAATCTTCGCATGCGGGCCTGATTGCCCCTTCTAGATGAGTCAAATGCAACAGGGCTCCAGCCTACCCTTCGTGTACAGAAACACCATRATGGGCGCTTGAGTGACATTTTAATTCGACAATGAGAGCACCRTTAAGGCAGAGGAGAGAAAAATGCCTTGTTGTGTGGCACAAGGTATTTTGTGGGAGCCCTGAGGTCACTTGGGAAAGGCCTGCTATTCAAATAGCGAGGAAGTTTGCCAGCAGTGACTCACTGCTGTGGTGGCTACAGATAAATTCCAGTTGCTCTRAACTTCTTTAGGAAGATTTTGATATTGATGTGTCTCTATCTTGTTTAAATCCTAAAAATCCGGTAATAAATTTTGTTTTCTTGATAACGCCCTTATTTGCCTGCATGTCTTCATCTCTGAAATGCTGGGGTGCAGCAATGAGCTGTGGTCTGTGCATATGTGGTCCCTGTGCCATATTCTAACACTATTAAAACATTCTGGGTTGCAAAAAACATAGCAATGCTTATGCAGGATTCCTGTTTGTCTGTCTGGGGTACACAAGCTACTTGATGCCTCTAAGCTACTTTGGCACTTCTCATTTTGTTGTAAAGTACTAATGAACAAAATGAACCAAGTATTGTGTTAATGTTTCAATTAGTAGTGTTAATTTCTGTTTTGTCAGCAATGGCAGTCCTTTCCTTCCCGTGCCTATTTATAAGAGCCTTACTGGAGTCAAAACCACAAATCATTCCGAGCAGATCTTAGAGATTCCAGGCCCTAACAACTTAGGAACTTGCTAATCTCCCTTGTTTAGAAATAAGTATTATCATATCATCTATGAAAACCAAACAAATGGGTTCCTGTTGTGCTTGACAATTCATTATATCCGTATCTCTCCTATGTATTTAGAGAAATATAATCTCTGGTATAAATAAATGCCACTATACGGGGTCAAATATATTGCTATGTCCATTTTACTAGAAGAGGAATTAAGATTGTAAAAGATTAAATATTTTGACCAAAATCATACAGGAAACATTCGTAATAGAACAAGAATTGGATTCGTATCATTTTATGCTTCTTCTAGGCCTTTTTATCTATAAAAGTCTTAACATAGGAAATTCCCAACTTAAAATAACCTTTTATCTTGTTTACATTCTTTTCCAGGTGTGGAAAGCTTAGATGACTACTGAGCAGAAGTAGGCTACTCTTTTTGGATAGTATAGGTTTAGGAGTTTTTGTAGTGCATGTGGATAATCATAAAGCTAAATGCCCAGCTCAGCAGCTGAGCTCCCTGATCTGCCTCTTCATTTAGCAGAAGTTTGCTGGTTAAGCTGCTATTGTAGCACATGCTACATGTTTGGAAAAGAAAGCAGGTTGTGATAGTAATGGGCTCTCCAAAATAACTTTTGTGGATTTTCTCAGTGAATCTACACTGTGTTTCATTTATTTGCTTATGTTGATATGTAAGGAAAATTCCTTTTGTTATATGCTTACTGTTATCAAAACGGTGTATTATATACAATGCATACATCTCCTACTGGTGGTGAGCACTTGGTGAGCACTTGCAGTCTCCTTTGAATGTGTAACAGTAAACACAGTTTTCTGAGAGAACACTATTTCTTATACCATGAYTTGTTTGAAAGCTATCTTCTAAATAGGATTTTCCCTAGAGTTTTACTTCTATCATACTCGTGGAAAAAAAAATGACTGAAACAAGTTGTTATCTTTAATTTATCCCTTTTGAAAGGTAARAGTTTAAAATATCTGTTTTTCCTCCAGGAGGATTACCCTCCTAGTACCTTCCTTCAGGTTTAGCTCTATTAGTTATCTATTAGTTATCTAAAGTTATCTTTGATGCTCTGTTGATGTTCTCCTGTGATACTACAGAACAAGAAATAAAAACCATCTGTGTTCCCTGTTACTCGTCACAGCTACTTTTGAGAAGAACCCTTAAGGACAAATAATAAAATGACTTGGGTGATTACACCTTACTGGTGTAATGYTCCACTTACTGGGAGGATCCTGACTCTCTCCTTATTTTTTTCCACAGGCCTCCAGAATTGGCATCAAAATATGCAAATTTCTCTGAAGGAGTGTGCAAGCCTGGTTATGCATCGGCGCTCATGACTGTCATCTTCCCAAAGTAAGTCATGAGTCTACCACTATTTTTCTCCTCCCTAATAATTTCTCATGTCTCAGAGTGGGTGTTTGGCTGCAGCTGTCCTGAAAATTGGCATTAATCTGTTGCTCTATTGGTGCCAGTGGAAACCAGCGTGAAAACTTTGGGTTATGTGAGAGGTCAGTGGCAACAGTTTAATTGATTTCAGTCTGACTGTGAGCTTGCGCCAGGAATGCAACAATCTCTGTCTTAAACAATATAACAAATTGTGCTGTCAGTGTGTGCTACAGATGGGTGGTCAAGTTCACTGCTGGTACCAGATGATCCAATTCCTAGAAAGCTCAAGTCATGCAGTGACAGATTAAGTCATTTAAAGTAGTCAAGCATGGTGTTTTTTTGACAACAGAGCAGGTGCCTGGAGGCTTTTTGCAGTAGTGTTTTCCAAAGGGGGCCTGGAGAGGCTGAGACATGTGATTAATACGTTGTGCATCCTATTGAGTTTGAAAGCTTTTATTATCTAAAGTGTTCTTAGTTTCTTCAGAATTTCTTTCCCTCAGGAAGAGTGGAAAATCCATTGCAGTTCTTTTGTTTGAAAGCTCTTAGAAATGAGGAATGTAGTCATAACAGGTAAATCAAAATTGTTTATTTTAAAATTTGACTTATGGTTCTTCTCGGCACTCCATGTGGCTCCTGCATTTCTGGAGTGTATAGAAATGCTGGGGGCTGGTTCAGAGTATAGATTGGAGAGATGAACATTGGACCGTTGAGGCTTCAGGGTTCCAGTGTGTTTGCTTCATCAAAGGGAAAGTTGAAATGTTTTTTGATTTTTGCGTATAAGCTTCCAAAGTGTGCGGGTAAGATCTCTGGAATCTACTTGTCAAAAGAGGTTGCTGACTTTTTTAAATGCAGTTGGCMGTTTTCTAAATGATACGCTCTATCTGTCTGGGGGGAGATTCCGTGCCTTACCCACGTGGAGATTAGATTGGATGACCATGACCCTCTAACCGGTCTTAAAAGTGGTAATKTTCTGTCTTTGTTTTTATTGGCAAGCTTGGGATCTGGAAACTTTTWAAAAAGAATATCTGAGATTGTCCTGTAATCGTAAGATGCTGGTGCCAGACCTTAAAAAGAAAGCAAAACAGCAAGTGTTGAGGCAGTGATCTCTAATGCCAGCGTAAAGCAAACAACAGTCTGTATTATCTGTCGTGTGAATTTTGGAACTCTGCATAGAGTCTAAATAAACAATAAAACTGTAGGCAGATACRTTATCATCCTCATCTTTTTGTAAGAGGTCTGAGTACGTTCAAATCTGCATTTGTGTATGTTTTAGCTGTAAATAGTACAGAAGAGGGAGATGGAGCAATTTWACAAAGGTGAGATGTCTCTAGCTAAAGCCTTCCTGTCTTCAAAAGTTGAACTATACCTGCTTTTTCTATAGCTGTTATTCTTTATTCTTTCTCTGGAAATAACGTAAGTGCTGTGAAGGCCAATGCTCTGGAGAACAGATAGTTCCTATAGCTTGAGTTCTTTCACAATCCAAGGCAGGATGTTTTTTCCTCCTGGTGATATTATCATGGATCACAGGCTAGTTATCTTGATTTAAAGATTCAGTTGATGGAGAGTCTGGTAATAATGGTAGTACCTTGTTTCTGGGAGAATTTGGAAAAAAAAATCACATAGTTCTGAGYCTTTCTTACTAGGGATTAGTATTCAGTTGCTTCCCTAATGAGACACCTAAATTTTATAAACAATTTTTTTTCCAGGATATTCTTTCTTCTTTATTAACTCAGTTTCAAATCTGACTTTCCAGTATTTTAACTGGAATTCATATAAGGATGCCTGAGCCCTAGTGCTGCAGTGAATTTCGTGCTTCACTGTCACCTACTGTTTCTTGTGTAATTTCCTTCACAGTCACAGAACTATACAAATTAAAAATTATCACACCAAGTATCTCTTCTTTTAGAATATTTAGAACTCTTGTAGATTTTTTTTTTCAGTTGCTCATGCCATTAGAAAAATGTCCTCTCTCAGGCTGACATCTTTGCCCTGGAAAAAAGAAAATGTATTTTTTTTATTTAGATAAAGTTGGTTTGGCTGTTTTCAAGCATGAATAAAATGAATAAATGTTTTCCCTTTCGCAAGGTTCCTGACTTTTTCATGCGATTTTAAATGTAAATAGGCAAAATATGATGGAAATAGTTCAGATAGAATAAATATTTTTCAGAGGATGTAACTCTTCTTGTTAAGTGCTGCTTTAATGGTGAAAATGTGGCTTTTGACTTTACCAAGCAAAAGTATTCACTAAATGGACTGAAGAGCGATGCTTTGGGAAATCTCAAAATGTGATTGCTGGTAAGGGAAGACTAAGTGGGGTTATTTTTGTGAGTGCCTCTGTCAATGGTTTCTCATTCTAACAATACTTAATGTTTCCATCAATGATCCTAGCTGGAAAGAATCCTAGGTTAAGTTTGCAGATGGTACRCTTACTGGGGAGCACTATATGAATGATTGGTTACTTTTGCAGAACAATCTGGATTGCCCGATTTAAATGACCACAGGTCAGTAAAATATATATGAAAACATCTAAATGCAAAAGTAGATGTCTGAGAGTAACAAATACAGTTCATGCTTTTAGAAGAGGACAAGTCTCCTTTTAAAACAAATGCCAAAAAGCTTCATGAAGCTTCACAGCTTAAATTTTTCATGTATGTCAAGAAAATTTGGGGTTTGTTCTTTACCCATTAAAAACAAAACAAATCGGCTAGAATACTGTGCCTAGGTTAAGGTGAAGCACTTAAAAGGGGGTAGAAATGAGAGATTGAAGGAAAGCCATAAAAGTATAAACCTGGATTGACTTAAGTGATAAAGCAAATGAGAAACAAGTTGTCTTTCTGAAGAACAAGCCTCCTTTCTGCAGATGTTATATCCAAATGAGGAGAATAGGAAAGACCACTAACGTTGGCAAGTCAAATATAAAAATGTAGTGAAGTACACCAAAAAATGTTGAGGGGCAACTTTATAAAGACATAAAATATAAAATGTTTATATGTCAGAAGTCAAAAGTCTGCCAGAGGTCCTGATGAGCTGGTAGATGATCATAACATTACGTGTGAGCTAAAGGAAGATAAAGACATAACAGAGAAGTTATTTGCTTCACTGCTGGCTGCAGAATAGTCCCATAAAGGAAACCTCCCTCCTGGCGGGGGACAAACTRGGGGAGCTGACAGAACATGGATGTTTTTGAGCAACACAGTGCCAGGAATTTCTAGGAAAAACTCTGTCATGAAATTGCAGATTTGCATATGGTTGTATAAAATTATTACTTAAGTTGACCTTAGAATGGAAGAATGAAGAGCAGTAAAGGTGCTTGAGTTTTGAAAAGAGAGAATAGATATTTTAGGAATCTGGAAACCACCAGTGAGCCTGTTTTTTTAGTATTAGCCACCGTGATAGAAACTGTATCTATACATTTAAATTAATAGTCACAGGAAAAAAGGTGATAATGGGGAAGAGTCAGTTGTCTTCAGCAAAAGGAAATCCAGCTTTGTAAATCTGTTCAGGTTGTTTGAATGACCGAAGGAACATTTGTTAAAGGTAACAACTGATAGAGCATGGCTAGAATGTCTGAAAAAATCGTGGAATTTCAGAGACTGTTGGGAAATTAAACTGGTATAATCCTATAGGGAGTTAATAACTATGCAATGATGGTGAACTCAATGGAAATAATAACGTTACACAATGCAGGGAGGTTACCCCTGGAGTCCTATAGAGAATGTACAGGGATCTGTGCTGCTTCAAGGGTTCGTAAAATAGCCAGAGCACAGAATAAATAGCAAAGTGCTGACAAGTTTTTCCAGGTAGCAAGACCAAAGCTAACTATGCGGARTGTCAGAGAAATCTCGCAGTACTGAGTGATGGGCAATAAAATAGCAGGCCAAATTCCGTTCAGATAAATGTAAGGTAGTTTTTGTGGGAACGACTGATCTAACAGCACWTGGCTGATAAGGGACTTGGATGTGTCTTACAAATTAGGAAACACATCTTGGAATCGCTGCGAATAGTTCTGCACCTTTTTGATTAGTGTTAGTTAAAAGACCAGTAAAGCCCAAGGAATTATTGAGAGAAATGCATAAAAACTGAGAAGTTTATGCTATTATATAAATACACAGTATACCTCTGTCTTCAAAAATACTTGTACTTCTATTCAATGAATTTCAAAATGAATATAGAAGGAATAAGTGTGTATATATAATAATGAGGAATAAGCAGTGAATGGAACAATCTTCATCTTCAGAAAGACTAAATAGAGACTTACGAGGTAGAAAGAAGGCGTTGATGATAAAATAATGAATGGGAGAAGATGCTTAAGTGATTACATCTCTGTGTATGGCATTCAGAGATAGCAAATGGAAGTGTGGATCAGGGTTAAAATAAAGAAAGCCAAGTGTTTTTGCATGCTATTTTTAGTTGCTTTCCCTGAGAAGGAGTTTTTTTCGGGGACAAAAAAGTAGATTGACAAGCATTTACACGGAATTCATGGGAGAATGATCTATCAAAATCCATAAAACACATGGATTCAGATACAGTCACTGGCAAGGAAATACTTAAGTCACAAGAGGCTGGAAGCCAAAAAAGATGTTGAGAGCAGAGTRTGGCTTTACATACCCTGTTTCTTTGTCTCTTTACTGAAACGTTTGCTAGTGGACATAGTTAGACATTGGATTTAGGGCTAGGTGCATGTTTGCTCTAATTCWTTGTGCCCAAACTTGTTCTTTTTTAACTGTTGTACTTGAAGCCAGGCTGGCTTCACTTCATAAAAAGTATGCCGTAATGCAAAGCGTGACAGTCCCTTGCTGGCAAGGGAACGGGAGGTATGATCTCAGGGCTGTATCTCGCTTTAAGAGCTGGATAGCAGGACTGTATTTGGGTCTGGTTGTAACTCAGGGGAGAGGTGTTATGAGATTGCAGTTTCCCAGCTCTCTGCTTTCCCAGGCTAACGTAATTCTGCTTCTTACAAATGCAAC